TTCCAGAAGAGAATGTTTTGAAACTGTGTAGCAATGGTACAACACTCCTTGATATGATTGGACCATGGAAAGCTATGATAGCTGTAAGACTCTCAATAAAATGATTTTTTAAAATTAAGTAGGTCCTAATCCCATCTGAAGGGAGCCCTGGTGGCATCATGGGTACATGTTAGGCTGCGATCCGTGGGGTCAGCAGTTTGAAACCACCAACTGCTCCGCGGGAGAATGACAAGGCTTTCTAGTCCCGTAACAACAAGCCAGAAACCCAGAGGCAGTTCTACCTTGTCCTAGACCTAGAGGGTCACAAGGAGTCAACATAAAACCCAGTGGCAACGACTCAAAGGCAGTGAGTTTGAGCTTGATCCCAGCTGAAGGAGCCCCGGTGGTGTAGTTAAGTATGAAATTGGGTGCAAGATCAGCAGTTCAAACCCACCAGCTGCCACGTGGGAGGAAGATGAGGCTTTCTTTTCCCATAAAGATTGAGAAGCTCAGAAACCCACTGCCCCAGAGGGCCACGGAGCAGGTCCCAGCTGGAAACCCACAAGGCAGTCCTGCTCTGGCCTGCAGGCTTCTCTGAGTCGGAACGGACTCGCTGGTCCCTCACGACAGACGGAGACACAACAAAACCCTGCTGCTTAGTCACCCACTCTGTGACACTTGGTTACAGCAGCGCCCAGAGACCAATGTACCCCCCAACCTTCCCAGGCCACGCCCATATGACCACTATGTCAGAGGTCTGGGGAACCCAGGTTGATCATTATTTTTAAAGGGGCAGCCTCCAAGCAGAAATGCTGCAGCTGACCTTACGGGCCATGTCACACAGCAAGCTGTGGGGAAGTGTTACCTGACCCAGAAACGGGGATAAAACCCAGGGCCACTAGAGTGTGGCAGGCGGGCCCGTCCCCCCAGCCCTGTGGGAAAGCTCCAGGGTGCGCAGAGGCAAAGGCCCAGTTCCCAGGGAAGGAGTTCTCCCTGACCTGTTTGAGGTCACAGGTGTGACCAGTCCACACCTGCTCGGGTACTTGTCGGACCACGTGGCCAGAGATTTAAGAAATGTGGTGACTGGCTCTGAGGCCCCCTGACCCCTGTGATACTGGGAATCTTAACTCCCTGGGGCCCCTTCTGCAGCAACACCCCCACCCACCCCCATCTTCTAAGAGTCACCGCCTCCAGGGGCTGTGATGGAGAGTGGCAGCCGGGTGTCCTGGCCCAGATAGGTAGAGACCACGTGGCTGAGGGCTGGAGAGAGACTTGGCTGCTAGTTGCGAGCTATTGCTGTGAACCAGTGACTGTCTTATTACTGTTTACTGATCCTGACCTGTGGTAACCTATTACCTTCCCAAATAAACCCTCTAATTGTGGAAAAGAAACAGAGAAAAAAAGTCACTGCTGCTCAACTGGACAAAGGCCCCACTGACCACCATGCACCTGGGGAGAAAATGCCAGAAGGATAATGGATGCAGTGGGTTCAGCGCTGGGCTGCTAGCTAACCACAAGGCTGGTGGTTCAAACCCACCAGCCACTGTTTGGGACAAAGATGAGGCTGTCTGCTCCCGTCAAGATTTCATCTCAGAAGCCCTAGGGAGTAGTTCCACTCTGTCCAATAGAGTCTCTGTGAGTCAGAAACCACTCAGTGGCAGTGTGTTTGTTTGGTGTAGAAAGGCTTTGGCTAAGTCACTTGGGGCTTGGGGGCTTGGGGGCTGGAGGCAGAGGAGGTGGCAGACCCGGGAAGGAAGAGTGTTGGCTGCAGAACCAGCCTGGTCACAGAGCTGACACTGTTGTGCCCAACCCCTGCATCTTTCCTCAGGGTCCCTGAGCATTGGGCTTCTAACAGATGAGCGTCTCCTCTGATCATGGACTAAGGGGCGGGGTGGGTCATCAACCCCTTCTGCCAGGTAATGCTTCAGACAAATCCCCGGCCCTTTGTGCTGCCCTTTGGCTCAAGGGCATCTCTCCAGCCCCGGGAAGCTGGCTGCTTGGGCACACGTGAAGGACTCTCCCCCAGTGAGGACTCTGAGTGGAAGCGGTTCTACAGTTCCCAGCTGGCCACCGCCGCTCCATCCGCCCATTTATCATTTATGCAGCACCAAGCCTTTCCAGGCCCCCTGCCCGCAACTGCCCCCGCCAGGACATCGATCGCCCTAATGGGTAGGCTCTGAAGTGGTGGCCCAGCTGCCCCCTTCCCAAGCCATCCTGTGGCCACTAATTAGCTGAGGTTCAGAGATTCCACTCTACAAATGGGGAATGGGCCCGGGGCACTATGCCGGGAAACAAGAGGGGGTTGAGCTTAGCATTGTGCCCTCCCCACACAAGACCCCCTGCTGGCCTGGTGACTGACTCCCGGTGTGTATATGTGTGTGGTTTATCCTCTGAACTACAAATGTGCACAGGGGACTTAGTGAACAGGTACTTCTTGGCTGTACCCAGTGCAGGGCTACTTCGCAGCTCCAGAAATTCTCTACAGGAAGAGGGCTGGAGGACTTGGTAGGAGGAGAAGGCATGTGTAGAGCATGCATGCGGTTCTGACTCCAATTCAATGGGAGCTCTACCTCCCAGCACTGGAATCTACAGTGGGGACAAAGGCCAGGTCCCCACTAGACCTGCGGTGATGAGGAGAGACACTGGGGGGTGGGGGTAGGGGCACAGGTCTCTAGCATTGACTGGGGTGCCATTAGTGGGAAGCTGCTGGCCAGAGAAGTCTAGTTGGGAAGATCCAAAACCAAAGTGGGGGACAGCAGTGAGACCCACAGGAGGAGGCAGGTGGGCTGCCGGGAGAAGAGAGGCGGCATGGAAGGGGCATTCCTGCTGAAGGCACTAGAACCTGCAAGCAGCAGCCCACCCCAACTCAGTGCCCGGCGAGGCTGCTCCTGCCGTCCAGGCCTGTGGCTCAGGCAGCGCCATCAGACAGATGTGCTCTCTCCTCCAGGTTTCCACTTAGGGGACCGGATGTCACCTTAACTTTGGAGGCACTTGGGGAGCCTGTCGTCCATCAGATCCCAGTGAGAAGCTGGGCAAAACACCACTCCCTGAACATCTCTCTAACTCCTTCGCCATGAATCACAGCTCTGGATAGGTCCTGGCCACCCAGATTGAACACTTTGATCGAAGGTTCTTGATCAAATGATGGGTGGGGGTAGGATTCAGAATTTCAAATTCTCATGGACTCCAGATTTTCTGGAGCCACGGAGGCTGGATGAGACCCTAAAACCATTGCCCTCAGATTACCTTTAAACCTTACACCAAAAATGCCCCCTGAAGTGTTAAGATCAGACAACAGCTGGGCTGCCTGGCGAGGGTGGTCTTTCAAGGTCTGCCTGTTGGAGATCAAACCGGCCACGGCAGCTGGGAAGATGAGACGGGAAGTTTAGGGGGGCATGGGTTTACAATCCCCAGCAGAGACAGCTCAGAAAGGGAGGGGGAGGGCGGCTGCCCAACTTGAATGGAACCAGTGTCATCGAATTGTACCCAGAGGAGCTAACGATGTGATGGGTGTTCCATTGTGTGTATTTGTAACAATAAAATACATTTTTCTGAAAAATGTGAAGTATGTAAACCCGCTATGGAAAGTATAAAACACTGCACAGCTCCATCTGTCCTGCAACCTTACAAAAATATTGAATTATTCATCCAAAGAGAGCACTGGCGCCAGCCATGACCACATCTACGTGATCTGTGATTCTGAGAACATTTGAGACATCCCCCCAACACACACACTGTTCACAGAAGGACTCCTGGGGTGGGATGAGGAAGGGGCACAAAATCATCCATACCCACCCCTCCTTTCCCATCAGGCTACACCTCTGGGGAGGGGCCCAAGAGGTCTGAGATCTCTGACACACCCCAAGGGGTCAGGCTGAAGCTGTGAATGGCCCTTTTCCACAATTGCTTAAGGCCTACTGAGTGACTGTGACTCAGACAGGGTTCAGCCTGTCAGTCGTCACCGGAGCAGACAGCCTCTCGAGGAGTGGATGGTGGTGGGTTTGAATCTTGGACTTGTCAGTGAGCAGCGCATCGTTTATTGCACAGTGGCCACTGCAGATCTGTACAGGCCCAGATATAGGCCGAGAATGGCAACTGAAGTCTGCGGAGTTGCCTCAGAGGCTGGTGTAGAAACAAGAGGGGGCTGTGTTGGTACCCCACGTTACTCCTCCAAAGGATGGGTCTTCTCGGCTGGATGGATCGATTCCCTCCCCGAGGTCCTTGCTCCATCCCCACCCCTGGTATCTTCCCTCTCCCACAAGCACTGGGATTTTTTTCCTCTAGATCTCAGATTTTTTAGTATTTTAGAAGGTGTTATTTTAAGGTCGGTGTTTGGAACCACCAGCTGCCCAGGGAGAAAGATAAAGACTGATAGTCTTAGAAACCTACAGGGGCAGTTCAGCCACCCTGACCTACAGAGTGGCTACGAGTTGTATTCCACTAGATGGCAGTGAGTTTTGGGGGCGTTTGGAGGGGTTATAAACAGCATCCTCCAGGGGTGGGCACAGACCTTTAAGAAAATTCTGGCCCTTCCTGGCTCCCTTCCTTTCATAAGAGGCCCCCCTCCCTTTCATAAGAGGTGCAGGTTGAAGGGCGTGGGGGGAAGTGAACATAGACAGCTGTGGCCCGACTCTAAGCCCAGGTATGTCCTCTAGTTACAAGCCCCAACAGGGCTTGTAAAGCAAATGAGTTGGCTCTGGGCTCCAGGGGGATGGTGGACTCCCTCCTGCAGTTTGCTGCAACCTGACCAACAGCAGGTGCTCCCACCACCGCCTCTCCAATCTGATCTCTGCATCCAACTCCCGAACACACACACACAGCCACCCAGTGGTCCCACCCCAGCTATTTAACCCCTTGCGACGACATGGAAGACCCCAGTGGGGTCCACTTCATCCAGGTAGAGCTAGCCTCAGAAACCAAGGGTTGAGGCCAAGGTCACAATGAACAGCAGCAGCAGAGAGCCACTGAGCAGGGTGGAGGAGGGTCCTCAGGCCCAGCACACTGGCGCAGGGAACACTCACCGCCGGGACCACTTGGCGGATGGCCTCCCGAAGGGCCGCTTCCACAGCACCCCATAGAGCTGCACTTTGGTGCTGATGTCCAGTGCGTCCGAGTCGGCCTGTTCCATGGACGGCGAGGGCGACACCGAGTTGGACTTGGACGTGAACATCCTGCCTCCGTGGGGCTGGCTGCCCCTGGCGCGGCCCTGGCACACACACCCCCACCGGAACAGCAGGGCGGCAGCCCGCAGCGGGCTGCGGCGCTCCCGGCGGGCTGCCGAGGCCGAGCCCCTGCAGCTCGGGGGTCGCTGTCTACGCGCGGTTCAGCGGGCGGAGACCTGGAGCCGCCCTTTCCGCGGGCGCCGCATTCAAACCCTGGGGTTCAGAGCGCGGCGCAAGAGGGGCGCGCAGCCCGCAGTTCTCGGCTCTGGATGGCCGGAGGCCGCTGGGCCTCTGGCCGTCCGCGCGCCTCCCTCCGCCTTCCCGCGACGGCCCAATTCTGGTGTCCCGGATTGGCTGGGCGGGGCAGGTGAGCCCGGCGGGAGGCCGGCGGGGCGCGCCAATCAGAGCGGCGCCGGCTGGAGGGCTGGGCTCCGCGTCCGCAAGGTCCGGGCTCGGGCTGGGATCCGCACCAAAGCCCTGCCCTGTCCCCGCGGGCGCCCGGTGCGCTCCCCGCGTGCCTACATCGCAACGGGCACATCTGCTTTGTAATGTGCTCGGAGGGGCTTGGCGTGGGAGAGGCAGGCGGAAGGGTTTGGAATCCCACTTCGTTTCTTGTGTAAAACCAAAATACTCAAATAGAGGTTTTCTGAAACGGTCGATCTTTACAGAAAGAGGGAACCTCCTCTTTCTTCCCCTGAGGAGCTGGTGAGTTAGAACTGCCGATCGTGGGGTTAGCAGCGCAACGCCTAACCCACAGCGCCACCAGGGCTCCGCGCAACTCGGCGAGTGTTGATTCCTTCCACTGTAACGCGGAGGTGCTTGTACCAGGGTCTGGACTGGACAAGAGATAGGCGGTAGGACCCGCCAGACTGCACCGCTCAAGTAAGGCCTGGCGATCTGTGTCAGTAAAGGAGCCCAGCTCTCCTCTGAGAGAAAGTGCCCGCTCCGGGGTGGGTGGGGTGGGTGGGTGTATGTGTAAGTAAGTGCCCGGTGTGTGTGTCTAGGTGCCCGGTGTGTGTGTGTAAGTGCCCGCTCAGAGACTGCAGGATCACGGTTAGCCGCCTCCCCCTACTCCTCCCCTCCCCCGTGGATGCCTTTCACTTGGCACCGCCGCCGCCTCCTCCGGATCAGGTTTCTTTTCCGGCCACCTGGCTGTAGTCCCAGCACCTGGCACGCTGGACCAATCGCGGGCGGTCACTGCAGTTAGCGTCGTGATTGTCTTTCGCGCTGGGTTCCTGCTCCCTGGGCAGGTGCTCCCCCGGCAGCCGGCCGCGGCGGCGCTCGCTGGCTTCGGGCCGCTCTTTCCCGCGGCCTCGCTCCCGGCGGCCGGGGAGATGCTAGGTTAGCCAGGTTTGCGCTGGGCGCGGCGCCAAGGTCGGGAACTGAGTTTGCGTAAGTCAGAGGCACTCAGCGCACTCACACACGCTGCGGCTGGTCACCGCGTTCACAGCTCCCAGCGCACCTCTGGGTGCTCACGGCTCACCTGTGCCCTGGGAAAAACTCCTTTCTCCGCGGCTCCTCACATCGGAGAGAAGGAAACCAGCTGGGCGGAAGCTTGCAAACGGACGCTCTTGTAAGGAGCCAAGCCGCTTTGCAGGTACATTTTACAGCTTGTCTGGGTGTAAGAGTGAGGCGCAGTTCAAACAAAACCAAACCTCTCACTACATCCAGCAGATGCTGACCCATCGCGACCCGGTAGCACAGGCCGAAACTCTTTACAGGTGTAGAAAGTCCCGTCTTTCTCCCACTGAGCTGCTAGTGGTGGTTCAAACTGCAGCCCTTGTCTGAGCAGCCCAACCAGAGAAACTCTGGCAGAATACCTAGAATTCTTAGGCAAGTCTTTCCCAAGACAAAGGGCTGAGCGAGCCCAGGTGGTTCCTGGGAAAGCTTCAGCTCCCTGTCTCCCTGAAGCTCAAGGCTCTCCCCTGCTTCAGTCGCTGAAGACCCCAAAGGAAAAGAGAGAAGCAATCCTTGCCATCCCCTCCGTGTACCAAAAAACCCAAACTCTGCCATTGAATGGATGCGGCCTCACAGTGACCCTATAAGACAGGGTATAACTGCCCCTGTGAATTTCTGAGACTAACTCTTTACAGGTGTAGAAAGCCTTGTTTTTCTCCCCTGGAGCAGATGGTGGTGGTTTGGAACTGCTGACCTTGGGTTAACATCCCAACATGTAGCCACTGTGCTACCAGGGCTCCTGTAGACCTCAGCTCACAGAGGGGTTAAAACTAGGCAGAAAATCTGGAGGAGAAGACAACGGGACCGATGTTTCCGTAAGAACACAGGAGAAGGGGAGGTGAGGGGGGAAGAAGGAGGATGTCAACAAACCCAAGGACAAGGGAACAAGTAATCTAAAATGCATGGCAGGAGGGCAGAGGATGCCTGGTGGGGCTTGATCAAGGGCAATGTAGCCAGCCGAGAGGAATTACTGAAACCCTAATGAAGGCCAAACCTGATGGTGGGACAAGGGGAAAGTAAAAGGAAATAGAGTAAAGAACTAGGAGGCAATAGACATTTATAGAGGTCTTAAATACAGGCATGTACATATGTAAATATACTAATATATAATGATAGGGATATATCTCTATGTGCATACATTTATAGGTTAAGTATTAATGCAGCAGACAGACTACTCAAGTCCTCCCTCAAGGAAAGAACTTTGTTCTAATAAACTGGCATTCTGTGATGCTCACCTTCCTGACACAATTACTGAAGACAAATGGGTGCAGAAGCAAATGTAAAGAAAGGTGATGGTGCCCTGCTATCAAAAGATACAGCATCCAGGGTCTTAAAGGCTTGAAGATAGACAAGTGGCCATCTAGCAGAGAAGCAACAAAACCCACATGGAAGAAGCACACCAGCCTGTGTGATCATAAGGCGTCAGTGGGATCAGCTACCAGGCACCTAAGACCCAGAACAAAATCATACCCAAGGCGAATGGTGGGGGTGAGGGGCATGGAGTGGAGACAACAGCCCATCTGTAGACAATTGGACATCCCTTTACAGAAGGGTTGCAAGGAGGAGCCGAGCCAGTCAGGGTGCAGTATAGCATTGATGAAACATACAACTTTCCTCTAGTTCTTTAATGCTTCCTCCCCAATTCTACCTTACAAATCTGGCTTATCCAGAGCATGTAAACTGGTACAGATCAGAGTTGGAAATACAGGGTATCCAGGACAGATAAAGCCCTCAGGCACAATAAGGAGAATAGTAATACCAGGAGGGTAAGGGTAAGGTGTGTGTGTGGGGGGAGGGGAACGGATCACAAAGATCGACATATAACCCCCAGGGGGACGGACAGCAGAAAAATGGGTGAGGGGAGACAGTGGTCTGTGTAAGACATGAAAAAAAAATTACAAACGATCAAGGGTTCATAAGGGAGGAAGGGTGAAGGTAGGGGGGAATGAGCTGATACTAGGGCTCGGGTGGAAGGAAAATGTTTTGAAAATGATGATGGCAACATATGTCCAAATGTGCTTGACACAATGGATAGATGTATGGATTGTGATAAGAGCCCCCAATAAAATGATTTTTTAATAGTAAAATAAAATAACAACTAGGCAGAAAGGCCACCCTGAGGCAAAGAGCAGGAGTTTGGTTGATGGCTAGATAGCTCAGGGAGACCCTGGGATTGCACACACTGGCAACAAGCTCAGCAGCGAACAGAATGGCTGGAGGTTTGAGTCTATCCAGAGGTGCCTCCACCCAGAGGTGCCTCCAAAGAAAGACCTGGCGATCTACTGAAAAGTGAGCTTTTCTCACACAGAGGGGTGTCTCCATGTGCCAGAATCAACGTGCCAGGCGGAGTTGGTATTGGTACTGGCTAGGTGTTCCAGGGGTGTCCTCTGCCCCTGACTAACCAGCCTAGATATCCTTGGGAGAAGCTGCTTCTGCTTATATTTTGTTTGCTGCCCTGGCTGGTGGCAGGGCTGAATGTGAAGACAGAGCAAGTGGAGTGTCAACCCCAGTTGCCCAGCTTTACAGGAGGGGAACCTGTCAGGGGGTGGAAATTCAGGCCTCCTGAGTGCCTGGCTTTGCTCAGAGTCGGTGAGATGCTGTTATTTACAACATCGTCCATTCCGTTTGATTTTTCAAAACAATTCCACAAGGGATGCATGAGCATCCCTGTGAGCAGGCTCCATCCATGTAGGCTCCTTCCCGGGCCACAAACCTGAAGCCCCCACCCCCACCCCCACCCACCCTTCCCCCACACTAGGACCGCCCCACCCCCACCCCCCATTCCAGCAAGTCCCCATTCCAGACCTCCCTAGATCGGACTCCCTAGTCCTAACTAGCCAGCTTCCTGCTGGGCTCCAGTGTTCTCATTGTCTAACAATTGCACACCCCAGGTTGCCAATGCGGATGTATTTCTGGGGTGTTCCGAGGACTTTGCTGCCCTGCCAGCCGTTTCCCAGCAGTCGTGCAGGCTCCTGGCATCCAAAGGCATCACTGTGGGCCTCACACTGGCCAGAAACTCCGCTGGCATCCAGGGCTCCCTCTTGTGGGTGAAGTGTGGATTCACACACCACCACTCCCTGCCAGGGGCCCTGTGCTGACTCAGCCACCCTCTAGTGGGAACAAAATACAAATGGCCCTGTGGGCTTCCGAGGTGAGACTGTGATTCTTCTTCATTTTAAAATCATTTTATTGAGGGCTCTTATCACAATCCATACATCCATCCATTGTGTCAAGCACATTTGTACATATGTTGCCATCATTTTCAAAACATTTTCCTGCCACCCGAGCCAGCCCTCTCTCCCATCCTCCCTCCCTCATGAACGCTTGATCATTTATATATATATATTTTTTTTTTCATGTCTTACACTGTCCAATGTCTCCCTTCACCCACTTTTCTACTGTCCGTCCCTCTGGGAGGGGATTATGTGTAGATCATTGTGATAGGTTCCCCTTTTCTCCCCCCACCTTCCCCGTATCCCTACTCTCTTTATTGGTCCTGAGGGGTTTTTCTGTCCTGGATTCCCTGTATTTCCAACTCTGACCTGTACCAGTTTACATGCTCTGGATTAGCCAGA